GATATCCGAATATATTATACAGAGCAAACTATTTTTTAATGTGTTATCGTATGAAATATAAGAGGAGTTTCGAGGTTGAATGCATAAATAATGCTCATTAAAAAAAATAAAATTATTCAATTTTCGACCACACCCAAAAAAATTTTAATTCTTTGAACGTCATCAATTTTTGTTGAGGATAATACATTAATTTTTGTATGAATAATAATTGTATGAATAATAAATAGAAGTGGATTATTAAACCGCACATAAATGAGCATACCTAACAGAGTTTTGCAATAAGCTCTAATAATAATAATTATATCACACTGATAAAAACATTACTGCGTACCTAGAACTTCAACGAACTAAAAGAAGTTGTTCTGACTTACTAAAAAAATCAATTATGTATTCTTCTAAAATGTCGCAAACGTCTATCCCCTCTAAAAACTTGATGATGGCATCCCAAAATTTTGCAAGATAAATCCTATACAAAATATGGGAAATATTATGCGTCTACATTTGTGGTTTATTGTACCAACAAAATTTTACAAATTACTTTAGAAATTACTCAAACAATTACTTTCAGCATTTAGCGCACATGCTTTGTGGTTTCCATCAGCCTGGCATATCGCTAACCAAAATTTGTCTAACCATCCTCACCATAATTTTAATGACGTCATCTTAAAAGTTTGCTACTTAAATCGTATTTCAAATTTGTCGAATAATATGCGTCCATACAACAGGAAATTGGAAACTATTTTTTTTAATCGTCTTTGTGGAACAATAATTGTAATTCATTATATTATAAAGACTTAAATAAAATATTATCTGTATACAGTGTACTTGCCTATAGTAAATCGCATTCATAACATGGAATACATAAAAATATATATTTATTTTATTGTTGTTTTATTTTTCGCAAAAGAGAGGATGGAAAAATAAAACGCGTAGGTGATAAAATGATGTTTGAAAGTCTTTGGGGAAATGAAGTTTATGACGCAACTGTTACTGATATAACTATATGAATATAAAAATAAAATGTCATGTTATAGAAATTGGAATTTATGTGCGTGCAACGGGATATCTTATAGCACCATCACGGTTACGGCTCTATAAAAAATTGATTAAAAAAATACCATAGTGTTTACTTACAGAAATATTTTTTAAACAAAGAAGTTTCGTTATAAGGTTAACAGCACTTTGGTGACAAACATTAATAAATGGTTTAAATTTCTCAAAACACAAATTAAACATAAAACAGTAAAAACGACAGTACAACTCTTCTTATTAATGTTCAGTTTTTTTCTTTATCCATTTAATGTGCAGCTTCAAACACAAAATGTAATTTTCTTTTTTAAACCAGTATCTATTAACTAATACATATCTAATCTCTCTGTCCTCAGGCAAACCACACTCCGTTCAGTTTTTTATTATTATTATTGTTTTAGAGGTAAGTCTGCCGCCGACTTTTTCCATGCAATCTTCAAATAACTTGCATAAGTTTTTTCGCAAACTTATAATGTCGTAAATTCCTAATGGCAACTATGTAAATGTGCATTCTATTAGCTTGTCATCCGGGTCAATGAAACTTGAACTATTGATGCAAAAATAAATAATAACTATCCAACGTCGAATAAAAAGAAACAGGTTATGAAATACAAATCACACAATACATTTAACTGCAGTTTTATAGGCAGTAAAATTAATTTCGGAACCCAATATGTGCTCAAAATTATTCATGTCGCAGACCTTGAGGCTTCAGAATTAAGGCAATGGAAAAGTATTTAATTGCATTTGCTCGTAATTCGTCTTGGACTTAATATGGAAGTAAATACTTCAAATTTTGGTGACCAAACAAGGACGTACCTATAAATTTAGATTTATAGCGGCGATTAGCACTTCTTTGAAAAAAAGGTGTTAATTTAATGTGCCACTTATGTAACGTGTTAACAACAATAAATAATATAGTTAATGTAAATATATAGTAAAATAATTCACATAATTGCAAGGAATCAAAATTAAATTATCATAATTTAATTTAACGTTTGTACGTTTGTAGTTACCGACTCGACAAAAAGTAAATTAACTACTTACTATGTGTAGCACGTAAACCACATGCTGCAATTAAAATTTTGCCATTTTTCTCATTTGATACTTTGACATCTCAGAAAGAAGAAAACTAGATCAATGCAGGGACAAATTTAAAGATCTAGGACATGCGGTAGAAAATCAAACAAAGTAACATTGAAATTTTCGCACCTTTTTATAAATTTAAATCACGTAAGAGGGTTAAAATAAAGTGAATTGTTGAATAACCGGTAAAACAGCGGAATATGCTGGCATTGTTGTTGCGGAAGAAATTACTTCTTTAAACTATTTCTAATAGCTACTAAGATTTTGGACAGACGGAAACAAGAAACCTGTATTTTCGTATCGTATCTACACACATAACTGCTTTTTTGTTTTTACTGCAAGGAAATATTAATGATTTTAGAACTTCAAAAACTAATATAGTTCAGCGTAAGATATAGCGCGGGTATGACTCAACTTGCAGTAATTTTTACGAATTTGTCACAATGTGTGCAGTACATCCGCTTGCCTGGCCAAGACCTTCTCCTGTGGTAAGACTAAGAGGTTAAAATTATTTCAATACGGTACGATTGTATGAATTCTAACGTATTACTTAAAAATAAACTATTAACTGGACAAAAAAAACATTTCAAAATAAGATCCCCCAGAGCAGTTACGAACCCTTAAGTATGGACAATTCGCACATAGATGGCAGTCTGAGTATTTTTTTTTATTTAAGTAGTAGGTATAGGTGCGAGTGCGATATGATGATTGATGTATGATGAGATGAGTGATGAGTGGTGACCGATGACTCGCCAAATTATAGTAAATATGAAATACTCTCTGTTTTAATTTAGTTATGTTTTTTTTTCTAATTAAGAAGTATCAAGTTAAATGACAGTGCTGCGCCTAATAAATTAGGGATTTGAGAAAAAATATCAAAACACACATTTGTGTCTCAATGGAATGTGTGCTGACAATCATGTTATCCATATTTTTTACATTTGATTTATTTTTTCGTTTTCGTTTTAAGACAACATGTGTCAGCGACAAATTTATTTAAAAAAAAATATATTTCTTTCTGATTTACATATTTATTAGTAGTGGAACGAATTATATCAAGAGCTATTATAGCTAGAGAGAGTTTAGCTAGACTGTTGGTAATTTCATCTACTTTTAATATCGGTATATTATATGTTAAAAAAATGTATCAAATTTTGCAAATCTTGTTCCACTTTACTTAAGATATTTTTTATTCCCCCTGGCTTAAACGATGATTATCATTTCGTTTAGGTTCATTAAGTAATTTTGTAAACTACATTAATCTGATCTACATTTCATGTTTTCTGAACACTATCGTTTTTCTACGAACAGTGAAACAAAAAAAAAAAAATTGTATAGACAAAAACTTAAATAGATCAGATATACAGTGTTTCAGATTTTATTTCGTAGGTAAAAACTTTTTCATCATCTGAGATGTGAATACACGATAAAAACTAACTTAACGACAAATTAGGTAACATACAATATTTCAAGAAAGTCAAATAAAGTCGGATCACCTACATACAAGATATCCAAGATAAAACTCCGCGACAGATAGAGATACTGAAATTCAGTAAACGTCATTATTTTTAGCTTAAATAGGGAACTTAATTGCAAATATAACTCATATATGTCGTTGACGTCGCAACGCTGACTTACGTTCTTTTGAACTACAGTGTATATATTTAATAACAGATTTTAATAAAAAATAGAAAAAAATTAATTTATCTAAATAGAAACACAGTTAAATTAGCAATGTTTAATATTTAACGCCAGAAATCTTGGACTACTGCAACATGTCTTTGCTGCCAGTCCAAAATGGTTCAGTTTTTTAATTCTAAAAGACATTTATTACGAAAATTGGACCGGTAACACAGGCCCTAATCGATGGACAGCTCGCTGACCAGATTTAAGGTCCGTAGATTTATTGTTGTGGCGTTGCGAAGTATTTACGACCTACCCCTGATGTAAAAGATTATAAAAACTAAATTGGGAATATTTGAGCCTTTTTGACGCGTGATATGATTAAGTGACTATTTTTGAGATTCTACTAATTTTTTGGAAAATAAACGGGTTAGATACTTTATTTCACTCAACTTCAATTTTTATTTATAAGTAATTGTTATTTTTTTATCGACTATAATTGAAAAAAACACCAAACTGCTCTATAATCGTGATTTAATGAATAATGATCTACCAAGACCCTTAAAAAATCTATACATTACAATTTATAAAAACATGGGTTGGTGTCGCGACACCGTATACCAAATTAAGCTTCTCCCTTCAAGCCAAAAACAATGGCGTTTACAGAATTTCAAAATCTCTATACTATCTCAAGACAGCGGACTTTTATCTGAGGCACCCTGTTAAGTTGTCGCAACATAATTATCCAATGTACTTTTTACTAAGTTGGTATGTATATATACTTTATATTAAACGAAACTGAACTAACCGTTTATAGTAAAAATTAATTAATATTCCGAATGAAGCATTACCTATTGAAAGAGCATTATATTTTCCTCATTCTTTCTTATAAATGAGGGTTAATTACAAAATTAATTAATGATACTTTTATTTGGATATTTTATGTAACTACTCTGAGTCGTTGACCTCAACATTGTTTTAATACACCGCCGATATAAAACTTCGTAAATGTTAAACAAGTGAAACACAACACTTTTACGTTTAAAATTGAATTATAAAAAACAGTGACAATCGACGTCTTTTGGAAAATGACAAGAGCGACCACATAGGCTCGCATATTTTTGAACACCACGCAATTATCGTTAAATTTAGCTTCTGCTCAATATCAACAATTATACTAACGAGGCGTCAATTACCAGCGAAACAAAATCTGAAATTCCGGATACAGAATTATTTTTAATTTACAAAAGCAAAGAACTTACGAATCATTTTACACATGTGTATTTGCCACCTGAAGATTCCAACCAAGTGTTAGAAATCTTCCTGAGAAAAAATCCAATTATTTTCCTATTATTAACAAATAACAAGTAATTACTCGGCTCAACCTGCTTGAGCAGCGTGTGAAAGCCATTAAGCAACTAATTGATTTACCCCAACTGGTCGCCTAGTGTTGTCGGCACCTTTGTGTTGGCATTACTGCATCCTGAAACTAGCGACGGATGATTCTCCGAAGCTCTAGCAGGAAGAAATCAAACCAAGCGTGCAATAAATAATTCCCAACGTAAACCTGTTAAAAATACGACAAAAAGTAGTAAACTTCCTTGGCTTCGAGGCACGAACCAATTAAATAATTATAAAGAATGGACTTTCAGACTCGGCCATCATTGGTTGTGGTTCAATCACGGCTATTCAGAGGAACGGGCGCTGATGGAAAGATCACGGGTCATCCTTGTATATATAATTACACGAATTACTTGACTTTCACTGTTATTATATCTATTACGGGCTTCCGGTGACGTTGTGGTCACGAGGTTCTCACGGATCAAACGATCATTCTTATTGCTTCCGTCTGCGGTTCGAGAACTTCTAGGACCAACCGGTAGATAACAGTCGTTATCCTGATGATCTGATTGCAAAAACGAGTGGAGGAAGTCTCGTGCAAACTGACTTGTAGATGTGGGCACTGATATTTATTTTCTATCATTTGTCACTGGTGCGATCTCCGGATCTCATAATTCAGTTTTTATATCCATATAACAACACGATTCTAGCACAACGTTGCTAAGTAATAAATATTTGACAAGGTGTTTAGACGAGAACATTTTTTTTCTGTCGTTGTTATAATACTAAAATACTTGTAAATTTATATTAATTATTTTTCGATATTTAATATTTACGTAAAAGAAGGAAACATTGTCGTAGTGCCGAAAGGGTGACACCTTTTTTCTACTGTCAGACAGTTGTTTTACTTTTTTGTGTTTTTACGTTATTATTACTGTATTAAAATGAATTATAAAATTAATTTCTTAGATTTGTTCTAATATCGTTGAGAAATTTCAAATGCATTGTTTTTATTTTAAGTATTTGTAATTCATTATTTGTTTGCTTCGCCACCTGTAAAATTATCCTAAATATGTAAATATTAATTTAATAGTGTAGAACATTATAATCGAATTTATATTTCATACTTCTTTTGTTCCTGGAGCCTATATGTAATTTCAGATGAGAACTCTGGTGATACGAAGAAACCTTACTCCCTCAACGAATTTATGTTGCTTTTCTGAATAAAAAAAGTACAATAGTTAAAAGTGATTTGTGTAATCTGATACTGAAATATTATCGTGATGTTGTATGCGCCATGTACATAATAAGCATTCACGTTCGGTAGAAGTAGCTGACAGAAACTTTTCTGTGGTTAAGTTGCAATCTTAAGATCACTAGAAACTAAAGATTGGCATCAACTGTCTAATTTTCTAATTCAAATGTCACATCTGACTTGTATGGAAAAAACAAAGTTTTTCTAGTTTCAACACGCTTCGTTTCAAGAAAAGCCTTAAATACAGCGTGGAAACAATTTCCACAAAAGTAGTCACAAGAAAGCCCATTTTAAAGGAAAAGAGACAAGAAATATTTCGTGGTTATCAAAAAATTACAGAGAAAAATGGACAACGCTTGGGTAAAACGGAAACAGTTAAACTGGTGGCAGAAATATTTTCCGTAAAGTTCGCTGGTGTTGACGAGTGCTTTTCGAATTTTAAAATAATACCAATACAATGGCGCCGGTGCCGTTAATATTATAATCAGAATCAGAAAGACGACTGCGCAGATTTATATACCTACATGCTTTGTTGGTTCCGCTCTACAATTGGTTTTTAAGTTTTATAATTACCTATAATCGTTATTGTTTTGTAAGAGGGAAAACATTCGGCTTTGAGAATAATTGTACGTAATACACGTTTCCGAAGGCAAAGTTTTTCACATTTTAAACACTTTATAGCTACCACGCTACCAGAATCAAATATCTAAGGCGGTATCTCCAATTGCGTGATGATGATGAAGATTTACTTTTCATTTCCTTAGATGAGACATGGATTTATCAAAACGGATCTATGGTAAAATTGTGGATACATGATGATGACATCAAATCTTGTCCTCCTAAAAAAAACTAGTGAAGGGAAAAGATTCACAATTTTACATGCGGGTTCCTATTTGGGCTTTTAGAGGGATGTAATTTTCTCCTTGATTCAAAAATAGATTCAGCAGATTACCACAAAACCATCACATTTTCGATGTTTGACATTTACTTACTTACATGTCACATTTTTGATACCTACTTTCTGATACATTATACACTAGAACAATTATGTCCGCAGTTACACAGCTTAAAAAAAAAAGTTACCAAATCTAGTTACATCTACCGAACGTGAATTCCTTATATATTAATTTTTGAAGCAGGAACTAGACTTCACCGACTTTACATCATGGAGGTTTCTTATAATTCAAATTACAGAAACCTTAGAAGCCTTCAGAGAGTTATCTTACAGCGTTGGAGATTGGAGATGTTTTTATTATAAAATTATTGCAACTGATATCTGAGGACCGGTTGAACTGATGGCCATATAATTTATCCCCATATTATTTTACTAGCAAATAAAACTTAAAATGCTGTTGACACGAGCGGGAAATAGGAATGAAACAATTATTGGTTATAAAAGTTCACTTGCCATGATGCGAATGCCTGTACAAATTTAAAATTATACAAAAATGTCACACGCTGTATGAAACGTTATTAAAATGAACACAAGAAAATGCACTTTGTGGTTTTAGGTTTTATTGGTTAAGCATCACGAATGAAGTTGTGGTTTCAATTACAAAAACGGAACAATAACGAGAATCGTTGAGTTGAAAAGCTCTTACTTTAAGCTTCATTTATAAGAAAACAACAACGGGGAAGTGAATGACTTATTTCTTGGTTATCAAGTTGGCACTATTTCAAATTGTGTAAAAAATTAAAATCAAAGTAGACACAACCGTTTAACCTAAAATTCCTTTACATTTAAAGTGACTTTAAATCATTGTTACAACAATTTGTTGCTATGAAAAACTCATTTTAAATTTGGAATTTTTAACTTTAATTTTATTATGAAACTGACCCTAAATGAATGAATCAACAACACGTAGAAAAGGCAATGATTTATAAACTTTGAAGTTCGCAACTACAGAACCCTGTAAGAAAAAATTAATTAAAACAGTGTGTTATTAATATCACCCTCTTTTTATCCTCCACCCAACTTATTATGTCAAATAAAAGTCTTATGGCAGGTGAAGACAAGATTATGAAATAATATTTATGGTACCTGCACCTACTATGTATTCTGATTTTAATTTTACTACCTTCTGCACTGTTTTGTTAAACATCGCTATTTAACTCTACACCATCATTTAGCACATAAAATTTATATAGCTTAATCTACGTACAAATTAACTGCTACCAGTCTAAACCACACTTTCACAAACACGCACATACTTAGTATAGTAATTAAAGGTAAACTCCATTCCAGATCTATATATCTGGACCTTAAGTTCTGCCACTAAAGAACTTACGGATATTTATTATCATTTATTCGCTAAATAATAACAACACATCAGCATTACAGAGGGACAAAAATTAAAAAATACATAAAAACCATTTAGACCCGATTTATAAAAAGCGAAGTTAAAGTTAATTGGCGATTAACTTTTAATTGAGGTCCGTTGCGAGGCAACGCGCATGTTTTAACCAATCACGGGCTCATATTCCACATTTTAATCCTCTGTTAAACTAATCCAGGATTAAATATTTAATTCTCTGTTCTATAAACCGGTCCCTAATGTTTTAAATTATTGACTAGGAATAGAATGTACATATGTCAAATTCTTTATCAGGAAACACAAATTGAAAGCAGTCGCTACATGAACTGCCTAAACGGTTTTTCTGACTTTTATTTTTAAATAAAAGCTTACTATTTTTTTTTTTTTTTACAACACACTAAGAGTAGCAAAATTAGTACAGACAAAGCAATCAGCACAATTCAAAAACAGCTTTTATATGAATTTAGCTTAATCTTTTTAAAATTTATTTTCAAAAAAGGGATTATCTTTTAGGTACTACTTTATGATTTTTTCTAAACATTCAACGACAAGTTATATTTCAACAAAATGTTTAGTTAAGTTCAAACATGTATAGTTTTTTGGTTTTAAATACATAAAAAGGTAAAAAAGGGAAAATGTAACAATGGCCTATGAAATTTTGCGTATTTCTACTTCCCAAGCGTAAGCTAGGGAAGTATAGTAATCGAGCCCATAGGACTAATGGCCACTTGTATGTTTTCTCGACGTTTCATGAGCCCTAGAGTACGAAAAATGTTTCCGTCTGTCTGTCTGTCGGTCTGTCTGGTGTCTGCTGGACCGATTGTTGTCAAATTTTGTATGTATATGTATTAGAAATATCATGTAGATGGTTAAATGCTAACCAAAATTTTGCAAATCATCTCCATGAACAATTTGATGACGTTGTATCAAAGAATTCTATGTTTATTTGATTTAACTGTTGTATAACAATATAGTCCTATAAGTTGCTGTACGAATCCGCTTTGAATTTTTTCTCGAACCATCCAAATTTTTGGAAAAATAATGCACGGTATAATAACAGTTTACCATTAGCGTAAGGCATCCTAGCGATGGTCTCTAGTGGTTACGAGTCAGGAATGCGGACTGGACGTCGCGGGTTTGATTCCAAACTTTGCCTTTCGTTTTTTTTTTTTTCTCAAAAAAGTGAGAATACGCTCCCCTTTTTACTTCCCGAGCGTAAGCTAAAGAAGTATTTTAAGAATGGAAAACCTTCCCGGGGGTCCCAATTGTTTCTTTTAACAATGTAAAATCTTGTCGGGGGTCTCAAATGTATTTGTTTAAGAATGTGAAACCTCCTCGAGGTTCCCAATTGTGTTTTTTAAAAATGTAAAACCTTTTCGGGGGTATCAATTTTTTTTTTAGAATGTAAAATCTTCTCGGGGGCCCCAAATGTCTTATTTTTAATGTGAAGCCTTCTCGGGGATCCCAACTGTCTTTTTTAAAAA